AAAGAGCGAAAGAGACAGGCAAACAGACAGGCAGACAAACAGGCAGACAGACAGGCAGACAGACAGGCAGACAGACAGGCAGACAGACAGGCAGACAGACAGGCAGACAGACAGAGTGTTCTAAGTTCATGTACCAACATTTCTGTGTGTTGTGTTTGATGTACCTATATTTCTGTGTGTTTCAGCTTCATGTACAAGCACTTCTGCAACTGCCTCGTCTGGCTCTGTTGTCCCAGCCACTTCAAAAAATCCAAGAACAAACCCAAGGTCAAGGCCAGCAAGACTGGCAGCAAGGTCAAGGCCGGCCACTCCAAGCGGTCGCGTAGCAACAAGGAAGCCGTGACCGACTACGAGGAGTCCCGGCAGGCTTTGCGCGCCAAACACTCGTCCTCTGACTGCCCGGATGTGGAGAAGGGCGGGGTCACGGAGGTCACAGAGGTCACAGGGGTCACAGGGGTCACAGAGGTCGGCGGGTCAGACCTTGGGTCAAGCAGACCTCACAAACCTGGCCGCGCGTCATCGCCTCAGAAGGCGGGAACACCTCCCAAAAGTTTCCCCACTCACGAGAAGCCCCGCTCACCCACCGACCAGTCACCAGACGATGACGCCACCACCACCACGCCCCCACCGCCCACGACACAACCGAAGAAGCCGGGCCAGGAGGAGATCCGGGTGCCCATGTTTGTCAGTCTCCTCATCATCGCTCTCTACATCTTCGGCGGTGCTGTGCTGTTCTCACAGTGGGAGAAAGACTGGGACTATCTCATCGGCTCCTACTTCTGCTTCATCACGCTCAGCACCATCGGCTTTGGGGACTACGTGTTTGGCGTTGGTGGGGACCTGGCCAACAACGAGAAGATGATCATCTGTGCTCTGTACCTGGTCCTGGGTCTGTCCATCATCGCCATGTGCTTCAACCTCATGCAGGAGGAAGTCCGCGCCAAGTTCCGCTGGCTGGGTCTCAAGGTCGGCATCATCGAGCACAACGACAACAAAGGGCCTTGACCTACATCTCTCACGACCATGTGACGTTGTCTCTAGTGTTCTATTTATAGCCTAGATCCACTTCCGGGAACCTCCTGGAACTTCCGGGACACTACTGGAACCTCCGGGCCGGGAAGAAGGAAGAAATGTTCAAAGGCTGTCGCCCTCTTCTTCTTCTTCTTCTTCTTCTTCTTCCTGTGGCATTTCATCAACAGTAGGTTAGTGTGGCGTGAAGTCCCTTGTCGTGACAGTAAGGTTATCTCTACAGCTGACAGTTTTGTCGTGTCTGTGAGGTTATTTCTTCAGCAGACAGACAGTTTTGTCGTGAGTATAAGGTTATCTCTACAGCTGACAGTTTTGTCGTGTCTGTGAGGTTATTTCTTCAGCAGACAGACAGTTTTGTCGTGAGTATAAGGTTATCTCTACAGCTGACAGTTTTGTCCGGTGTGTGGTTATCTCTGCAGCCACAGTAGGACCAATGTGCTGATCGTGACTGACTGTCAGGCCCTCTGCAAGGGACTGCTAGGCAACAGCTTGGGTATGTATAAATGATTTGCGCCGCAAGTTCAGTGAAACCACAGCCACAATAAAGATCCAGAGGATTCCAAGCCATGTTGGAATCGAAGGAAATGAGGCAGCAGACCAATCTGCCCAATGAAGCCAGAGAGATTGAAGGAGACAGATAACCAACAACATTCAGAGGAGTCTTTCCAATGATCAAGAGAGAAATCAGAGACCCACCATGTAGAACTAAGTACCAGCACCTGGAGGATGTGTATTCTGGGTACTCCAATAAGCCGGAACAAAATATCACACGTCGCTGGGACCAGGTTGAGCTAGCGAGACTGCGGTCGGACCATCATTGGAGCATGAGATGATATAAGAACTTTGTGAATGAAGAGCTCAGCCCATGTTGCCGAAGATGCAGCCATGAAACGGATATGTCTGAATGTCCAGGAACAATGACAAGTCGAAAGGAGTTATTTGGACGAGTGGATGTGCCTCTTAGTATATTGACAATGAAGCCGAAAAAGAGCCTCGCTCTCGCTCGAAAATTTCATCGTGGAGTCCACCAGGCCCATTAAGCAAACAAAAATCCTCATCATCATCATCATCCTCATCATCATCATCATCATCATCATCATCACCCTCATCCTCATCATCATCATCATCACCATCATCATCACCATCCTCATCATCATCATCATCACCATCATCATCACCATCCTCATCATCATCATCCTCATCATCATCATCCTCATCATCATCATCATCATCATCATCATCATCATCATCATCCTCATCCTCATCCTCATCCTCATCCTCATCATACCACCTCATCATGACTAGTATCCGCTCAATGTGCCACCATCCACTCAAACAATTCCTCCACAACGCTAGCTCTTTCACCACCACACGGGATCGGGGGGGGGGAGTAGTGCTGTAGTCGTTTGTTGTTGTTGTTGTTGTTGTTGTTGTTGTTGTTGTTGTTGTTGTTGTTGTTGTTGTTGGTTTTGTTGTTGTTGTTGTTTTGTTGTTGCTGCTGCTGTTGTTGTTGTTGTTATTGCTGCTGCTCTGGTCGTTGTTCCAACAGAACTAAATTTCAAAGAGTGGTTGGTCGACTTAACTCCTGTGTGGTTTGCTCTTTCTACTTCTTGTCAGAGCTACCGTTTGTTATCGTGTTGTGTCGTTGGCACTCAACTGACCACAAACTGTCTCAACGTAAGATCTCAGGTAGGATACCCATGTCCCTTGTAGACGATGTCTCATGTCTTTGTTTGGTTGTTTTTGTCTTTGTTTGGTTGTTTTTGTCTTTGTTTGGTTGTTTTTGTCTTTGTTTGGTTGTTTTTGTCTTTGTTTGGTTGTTTTTGTCTTTGTTTGGTTGTTTTTGTCTTTGTTTGGTTGTTTTTGTCTTTGTTTGGTTGTTTTTGTCTTTGGTTGCCTGTTTTTGTTTGTTTTCTTCAACGAGCTCATACTACCTGTATTTATAGCTAGTTCATATCTTTAAAGTGTCTACGTTCTCTAGCGGTAGAGAATGTAAACAAGCGAATGTAAGGACTGTGAAAGCGGCATTGCCAGCTCGTTTCCATGTTCGACAGAGCGAGCAAGCTATTTTTAGGTTCTCTACTAACATTAGAGAACGTATACAGCTTGTATGTTCTCTAGCGTTAGAGAACGTAGACACTACCTAATATCTTTAGGGGGGGGGGCGCTGGTTTTAACATGACGATTTTTGGTCAATTTATGCTATCCAGACTTTGTACGTATCACAATACACCAATCACTTGTGAAGGTAAAAAGTGCTTACTCTTTATCTTACAATCATCATCTCTCAGATTTTCTAACCTAGAACTTTCATTTTGCCTGTTATGTAACAGAATGTCGTTTTTTCGCAAAACGTAAATTTTTTATGTGTTTTCTCATCTACTTTTTTATTTTATTTTTAATTCCAATGAATGTTCAGGGCTTGTTATTCACACCATAATAACCTAACTTTATACAGGTGGAAAATAAAATCGATACATTCATTAGTGAGTTACATATGTTACATGGATGATTATGTAATCGAATACAGAGGCATGAGGGGGGAGTCAAGATATCCAAGATCCCAACTGTATGACATTTTGTATTGAGTATATCTATCAATGTGCTAAATTTGGTTGGTAAATTAAAAATCCTTATTACTTTTATGAAAGTTTTTTATTTTCAATATGGCGGCCGTTACCATGGCAACCATAGACTTAAACAAAAAAAAGTAAAGTTACATTTTCCATGTTTTCATGGTATACTCACTTCCTTGCTCTAAGGCTGTATCTTTTAACAAAGGCCAAGTTACCGAGGTAGGTTTAGGAACCACCCCCCTCCCCCCCTGAAAGAGTTCATGCTATTTATAGCAAGTTACTATCTTTAATGATTTCATGCTATTTATAGCTAATTAATGCTATCTTAAACGCATTCATACTATTTATAGCTAGTTAATACTATCATAAACGAATTCATTCTATTTATAGCTAGTTAATACTACCATAAACGAATTCATTCTATTTATAACTAGTTAATACTATCATAAACGAATTCATACTATTTATAGCCAGATGACACTATTTAAAGGGAGTGATACATTCTGTATAGAGTCAGAATAATACATTTTGTATACTGTAGGAATAATATATTTTGTATACAGCAGGAATAATATTTTTTGTATACAGTAGGAAGAAAATGTTCTGTATACAGTGGAAATTAAACGTTCTGTATACAGTAGAAGTAAGACATTTTGTATACAGTAGGAAGAAACTATTCTGCACAGAGGTTAGACAGTTGTGCTGACTGGGAATACACACACAGTTGTGCTGACTGGGAATACTGTGCTGACTGGGAACACACACATAGTTGTGCTGACTGGGAATACACACATAGTTGTGCTGACTGGGAACACACACACAGTTGTGCTGACTGGGAACACACACACAGTTGTGCTGACTGGGAATACTGTGCTGACTGGGAATACACACACAGCTGTGCTGACTGGGAATACACACATAGTTGTGCTGACTGGGAATACACACACAGCTGTGCTGACTGGGAATACACACACAGTTGCGCTGACTGGGAATATTGTGCTGACTGGGAATACACACACAGCTGTGCTGACTGGGAATACACACATAGTTGTGCTGACTGGGGATACACACACATTTGTGCTGACTGGGAATACACACACAGTTGTGCTGACTGGGAACACACACACACACATTTGTGCTGACTGGGAATACACACACAGTTGTGCTGACTGGGAATACACACACAGTTGTGCATACTGTACACATACTGATATGTCACGTACTGTACACATACTGATATGTCACGTACTGTACACATACTGATATGTCACGTACTGTACAGATACTGATATGTCACATACTGTACCCATACTGATATGTCACATACTGTACACATACTGATATGTCACGTACTGTACACATACTGATATGTCACGTACTGTACCCATACTGATATGTCACGTACTGTAAACATTTCTATTTTGTCACTTACTGTTAACATCCATGCAAAACCATAATAATGTATCACATACTGTAAACATTCATGTAATACATTTATATAGTGTCCCATACGGTAAACATCCATGTAAAACTATATCATGTCAAATACTGTACACATCAATGTGAAACATTAAAAGTCATTTGGAATTCCTTGTGGTGATGCCTTGGTATTGCCGCGATGTTCTCTGCGTTTCTCACTGCTCTTGTTTTGGGGCTGCTGCGTTTTCTTTCCTAATCCTTACTATCGTCATTTTTCCTCTACTTCTTTTGTATGTTTGTCACTCTCTTGTGACCCGCTATTTCCGGGGTGCCTTGATAGTCGAAGCAGACTTTGTGCTGTTGGGGCTAGAGAGGTGAGCAGAGTAAGTCTGATTCCCTGTAAGGACTTCTCTGTTGACATCCACCCCTTGGCGCTCATATGACCTTATGCAGTTGTGAGTTTCGTAAAAAAAAAAAAACCTCTACAAAAACAAAACAACATCCCTCTGTGACTTGTCTCTGCTCTGTTCCTGTCGTTGTCTCATCTCTCTAGAACTGTTCTCTGTGGGTGGTTGGCGGGTGCTCTGGTGGGGTTTGCTCCTTCTTTCCTACCAAACATCATTCCTCCTGATCTCTCCTCCTTCTTTTTTGTATTTGTTATTCTCTTGAAATACCTCTATTCTTTTGCACTTTCATGACCTTATTGTATTGCAAGTGCCGTAAAACTCTCACTAAAACTAAACGTTTATCTGTCCTGTTCTCCTTATTCCAAATATTTTCTAGTTCATTCCCAACATCTTCTAGCTCATCCCCGTTATTTTTTATCACATCCCCAATATTTTCTAACTCATCCTCAATCTTTCCCAGACTTTTAAATCTTCTCCCAAAAATTATTTTTTTATTTCAACGACAACATTTCCTACCTCATTCCCAGTATTTTCAAGCTAATCCCCAATAATTTCTAGCTCGCCACGAATCTTTTTTAGCTCGTCCCCAGTACTTTCTAGCTCAATCCCCAGTACGTTCTAGCTCATCCCCAATATTTTCCAGTTCATCCTTAGTATTCCTCAGTATTGTCTAGATCATTCCCACTATTTTCTAGCTGACCCCCATAATTTGCCAGTATTTTCTAGCTGACCCCCATAATTTGCCAGTATTTTCTAGCCTATCCCAAAACTGTTCTGGCTCCTCCCAAATATTCCCCTTTATTTTCTAGCTCATCCTAAATATTTTCTAGCACAACCTTGATATTTTCTATTCCATCCCCAGCATTTTCTAGTTTATCCACAGTATTTTCTAGCTCGTCTCCAGTATCTTATAGCTCAAACACAGTATCTTATAGCTCAAACACAGTATCTTATAGCTCAAACACAGTATTTTCTAGCTCGTCTCCAGTATTTTATAGCTCGAACACAGTATTATCTAGCTCAACACTAATTTTTTCACCTCATCCCATATATTTTATAGCTAATCCCCAATATTTTTATCACACCCCTACATTTTCTAGCTCATCCCCAATATTTTGCCTCTCATCCCAAATATTTTCTAGTTCATCCCCACTATTTTCTAGCTAAT